CCACAAGGTGTTTATGTAGTCTAGTGATGATTTTTCATTTCCAATTTCTGTTGCAGATCTATCTCCGGATTTTGTAGAGGAGGGTCGATCTGTGGCTGAGATTGATGAGAAGGTCAGTGCGGTGTTGGAATTTTTGGATATTTTTCTTTACCAGTATCCTGATTATCTTTTTAACCTGTTACAATGTTTGAGACCTGACTATTCTGATAATTGCATATTGTTCTTTGCCAATAATTCTGTCTACATGCTGAGAGCAGGGCATGTTTTCTTTTAACATGATGACTGCATCATTTGCCATCTGTTTATACTTGCAGGACGGTTTGGAACAACTACAGCCAGATCTGGATGAAGGGGAAAGACTGACTGGTAAGAACCAAATATTTTTTTCATGGCTTGGGCTACCTGAATTATCCCCAGTAAATGGTCTTGTAATGGCTGTCTATATTCACCGTCATTTGATGAAGGGGTTGGACTGGGGTTATAAATGGTCTAGTGGGGAGATATATATGGCCAGTCATTTGAGGCAGAGTTGGAACAAGGATATAAATGGACTGGTATGTATGTGGACAGTCACATGGTGTAGGGTTTAAATGGTGGAATGCTAGCATTCTTTCATATGGTGACCTTCTTTTAATTATTTTGCGGTATTTCCTCCATCAGAATGCAACATTGAGGGGTCAAACAAAAAAGACCGTGCAGAACAACTCATCCCACTGGCCCAGAGCACTTTAGCTGCTCGACGTCCTCTGCTTTCCTTAGAAGACAACCCGCCCAGTGTGGAGACAGCTAGACTCCTCCGGAAGGTCAGTTCTTTGGTGTTAAGCGGCATGAAAGTTCAGTCAGTTTATGGAGTTGTACAAGATAATTAATGGTGTCAGTATGCAAATTTTCATCTTTTGCAGCTGCAGAATAAATTCTCATCCCCTATTATTATTATTATTATTATTATTATTATTTCAGGTACTTTATATAGCGACGTCAATTTACGCAGTGCATATATATTATATATATATATATATATATATATATATATATATATATAGTACATTCACATCAGTCCCTAACCCTCCAAGGGGTGTACAATCTAAGGTCCCTAACTCACATTCATACATACACATACTAGGGCCAATTTAGACAGGAGCCAATTAACCTGCCCACATGTCTTTGGAGTGTGGGAGGAAACCAGCGTACCCAGAGGAAACCCACGCATGCACAGAGAGAACATGCAAACTCCAGGCAGGTGGTGCCGTGGTTGGGATTTGAATCAATGACCCTAGTACTGCCAGGTAGAAGTGCTAACCATTTAGCCACTGTGCTGCCCTTTTACAAGTAATACACAAATCTGGGCCCTGGCATTACAGTTACTCATATCTTCTGTACATCTATTGCTCAAGGAACGGCAGGAGGAGCTGGCCATGGTGTGTGCAGTTCTGGATCGCAGTAATCCCTGGAGAGCTGCGTCTATGAGACAGAGGAAGAGACCACTGGATGAACAAGTCATTGAGGTAAGAGGTATCTGTGATGGTATAGAGGGACCTAGTGTGAGGTGTTGGCTGTCACCAGAATAGGTGGCATGGCAGTGAAGAGTCCCATATCCGGCTTGGCACTAGGCAGTACACAGCAGTGTTCATGCTGGACTAACAGGGACAGGTTTTATATCTGGTATCACTCTGGGCCTGCAGCACAATGTCACTTTTTTACTGGTTGCCACACTGGGTCAACCGCACAATGTCACTTGGTTTCACGCGGATGTCCAGGACAAGAGGAACACACTGATTTCTGGGTGTCACTTGTGGTGGAACATAGCACTTCAGCGTCCTGTCTTGGCTTACTTTGCGACACTGCTCTGCAGACCGTCAGGAGAGAAAAAAGAAGGTGGCGACGAGTGAGAACAGGACGAGGGCGAGTGAAAATGGGACCCGTGTCAGATGACTCCAGCGTAAGTGACCGCCATGATGCTTTGTGACAGGCAGTGCTGTATTGTGTTCCTGTCCAGAGTTGTGATACTAAATTGGACGGTGCAGTTCATTGAGTACCTTCTGCTGATTTCCAGATATGAATGTACTACAGATCTCGTGACATCCTCCTTCCCCCTATTCCCTCTTGAGAGCTGACCAAGGCTACTTTTTTTTTTTTTTTTTTTTTTTTTTTTTTCCCCCAATCAGTAATTACCAGTCTCTGATTGTGTTTCCAGGGCTCAGAATCTACAGAACTGTCTTTGGAAGGCAGCGATGGGTCTCTTGATGTCTCTGCAGAGCGCTGCATCTCTTCCCTTGAGGTTCGCCTTCAAAGAACTTGCAGCTCTGGTAAGGATTAGGCTGTCCTAGTTGGGTTATATTTCTAGGTGGAAGTGATGAATCTTTAAGTGTACAGTATGTCTTTGTTCCTGGGATAGGGGCAGGACACTGTAAGTGGGCTGGTGGCAGATGGGACCCATGTTTGTGATCAGACTTGTACATCGGTTTTGTCTTTACAGACTCTCTGCCCCCAGGGGAGCTTCCTTGTTCATTTGATGCTGCAGATGAAGACAAGTCCAAGGAAGGTAATTCTAAGGAAGGGACAGACTTCACAGCTTATACTGTACAAGAATATAATGCTAGTTTCTGTATATTTGGAGTGAGAACTGCCACATTGTATATCTCCTTTATCCATCCTAATAAAACATACTTGATTCTCTGCTGGTGAGGTTTGTCTGTAAGTCAAAGTTTAATCTCCAGCAGTATGAGAGATTCTGCTTATGGCCTCTTTCCGTGTGTGTTTGTTTTTTTTTTTGTTTTTTTTTATCCCTTTTTATCAATTCTTTAGCAGGCGGCACAAAGGTGACAGGTATTTGGAAGGGTTAATCAGCTGTGGGATTGCTTAATTATGCACTGGTGCTATAACATCTAAGTGCAAAGCTAAGATTGTCCGTTTCCATGTATGCGCTGTATGTTTTGCAATAAAATTTTTGGTTTTGTTTTTAATATAAATTCTTTAAGCGAAAAAGTAAATCCAGTTTGTATGCAGGAACAATACAGAACAGACCTGTAACTTACTTTTGCTTATAAGATTTCAAGGTTAAGGTCAATCTAGCAAAACAGCCGTCCTTTCCTTTTTTTAAATTGCTCTATTTCCTTTTTTTTTTTTTCTTTTTTCCTTTTTTCTTCTTTTCCTTTTCCCTTTTTTCCTTTTCTTTTTTTTTTTTTTCTTTTCCTCAAATTTGATTTCAGTGTAAAGGGTTAGTCTACATTTCTGGGAACAAAAGCACATTCAGTGTGTTTCTCCAATGAAATCCCAAGCAGTGTTGTCAGCTCTGCCTAGTTCTCTAATGTGGAGATGAGAATAGCAGAGAGGTGGGTGGGGGATGTTCTCTCTTCTACAGAAGAGAACCAGGCAGGACTGATAATACTGCTTTTTAGATTTCAGTGCAGGTGGTTTGGAGCACAATGGATTTCTGGCAGGATGAACGAGTATTTTTCTGTATTTGCTGCATTTTAAAAGGAATAACACAAAATGAAATGTGTATGTGTATCTCAGAGGTACTAAATATATTTACTGTATATTTTGCCCAGATTTACAAGTGCTAGATCTCCTGATTGTCATTGAGGGAGCCTTAGATCCTCAGATCATTGTGTGATGGATATGGTAACTTATAGCTATTCTTCTGTTCTGATGTCTTGTTTTTGAAGACTCAGTTGTAGACCATGGTGACCAGAGACGGGTGACTATGAATAGTTCTGAGCTGATTGACCGCATATTTGAAGGTGTCCTAGATGTCAGTGAACTGTCAGAAGTGGATGTGGATCTTCCTCCTGTATCTATTTTATCTCCTCTCACTAAGTCTGTGGATCTCCAGGCAGCAATCAGCCCTCTAGTGAGTCTAAAAATAAATAAATAAAAAAAACTGCGTACTTCTAGATGATTAGATGATCAGTAACATGTTGCCTATATCTACAGGGATCAGTGGTGTCCAGTTTACCTGAATTGCTGGAGGAGGAGTCCACAGTGACACGAGTCACATCAGCTGAAGAGGAGGTCCGTTTGCCTTACAGGTACTGGGATTATTAGTCTATCTTGGATCAATCTACTCTGCAGGTGCACAGTTTGGCCTTTTCAGCTTAACCAGAGTCCATCTATCCTGCTGGGTACCATTGGGACTATTGGCTAAGCAAGAGTCTGCTCACCCTACCAGCTAACAAGCTTCTCAGTCAAATCGGGCTGTGTCAAGCCTACTGGAATTTAGTCTTTCCATAGCCCAACCACCCTACCAGGTATGAGGATATCAATTCTTTCATCGCCCTTCCATTCTACAAGGTACCAGGCTTATCAGCCTATTCCTAATTCATCCATCCTACCTGGTACTGAGGTTTTCAGTCTTCCCATAGTCCTTCCACCCAATCATGTACTGGGGTTTGCAGTCTCTCCACAGTCCATCCACTACCGGGGTTACTAGTCTTACCATAGTCTATCCACCTTAGCAGTTATTGGGGTTAGCAATCTATCCATAGTCCATCCACCCCAAAAGGTACTGGATTTGGCACTCTGGCAGAGCCGATGGTGGGTTGTGTTTTTTTTTTTTTTTTTTTTTTTTTTTTTTTTTTTTTTTTTTCACAGAAATCATGGCTGTTCTTATTCAGGGCTGTGTACATGGAATAAAGTGACCAATGCACAACCTAAAGTCTAGACCTGGTATGAACCTTTCTATATCACTGTCTTCTTTTGCAGTATTGATGCTTATCGAACTTTGCGGAGAAATGTACAGCTAGAGTCTGTTGGCCAACTGTATACGCCAACTACCAGCCATCATCCTAAGAGAAGGCCACTGGAGAAGGGAGACATGAAGGAGAGGATCAAGGTGAGCCTTTTCTCCTCTAGAAAAGTGTGAATTGGTATTCAGCTGGGTAACAAGTTTCCTCTTCCTGCAGCTCCTCAGTAAGGAGGTCACATCTCTGCAGCGTATTATTGAGCAGTCGTGTTGTGCTTTGAGCTATTGTGTGGACGTTGACCATGGCAAGGGCACTCGGCAGGAGGCTGAGGCAGAGCGGTTGCTTTTGGTGTCCAGTGAGTGACCGGTATACATATTTCACCAGTTGTTTGTGTGCACTAATGTTAGACGGAACTCATCTCATCTTCCTCTTTAGCTGAGAAGAAGGTGGCTTTATTGAAGGAGCTGGAGAGACTCAGAGGAGAACGATCAGAAGAGCCGGAATCCTGTCCTTCAGAAGAGCTGAGACCTTGCCATGGTTCTGTCACCATCTCTGATATCCAACTGCCTCTCAAGGTGGACTATGTGTGCAAGGCAATCCGTGACTCAGGTACGACTTGCGATGCCAGTACTTTTGAAGTGTGCTGGCACACAACTTGTGACTGGAGTAATGGACAAGGTACTTCAGTCAGGTTGGACTGGTGTCTTTATTCAACCTTGTGAACTATGTATCTTGTGAGTTCTTTTGGTACACATACTGTGACTCCGGTACTTGTGAGTGCTGGCAAACAATCCATGACACGGGTACTTGTGAGTGCACTGGTCTTGCTGTCTTTTATAGCCACTGTTATTTCTTAATATGTGTGTATTCTTTTTAGGATCTCTGGGTCACTATTTCCTCATACTCATCCGCTATGGAAGCTATGATGTTGTAGCCACACCTCTGGCTAGTGCTGCAGATGCACAGACCGGTGACACCATTATATTTCCTACCTCAGTAACCCTGTAAGTGACTTGCTGTGAAATCTTCCTAATCTGTTTGTTTGGTTTCTTCAATGGGGCAGAAGGTGCAGCAGGTTTATTTGCTGGCAAATCAGTGATCGTTTTACTCCCACTTTGTTCACATTTCCTTTTCTATATGCCATGGTATTCAGGATTCAGAAGTACTTTCCAGCAGAATTTGGGTGCCTGGTGTGTGAAGAATGAGGATTGTCCTGGGAACATGTGGATGTGTGACTTGTGAGAAGATGGAAGGTCATCGTGTGTGTGTGTGTGTGTGTGTGTGTGTGTGTGTGTGTGTGTGTGTGTTCATTGCCTAAGCAGGATGTGTGTGGAAAAGAAGATGGAGGATCATCATGGCAGCATTGTGAAAAAGATGGAGGGTCATGTGAGCCAGTTCCATCATATTTTGAAACTGGCAGTGTGGTTTCATGATGAGATTGTGGTTTATCTGCTTTTCTCTTCCTTCACAGAAATGAGGCTGGTGCAGACTTCAAAATAGAAATTGAGGTTTACAGTCTGGTGAGTTGTCATGAAATTCAGACCATGGATCCAGTCAAAATTGGATGCTGGATTCCTCCAAATCCAGTTTTACTGCTATTACCAATTTCATTTTTCCTGTAAGCAACTTTGGGGGAGATGAACTAAAACTGGTGCAGCTCTGCATGGTAACCAATCAGCTTGTTCAATTAAGCTTTGGTAATAAAACCTGGAAGCTGATTGGTTTCTTTGCAGACTTGCACCAGGTTTTTGACTCTCTGATTTTAGTAAATGACCACTTTTTGTGTGTCCAATCATAGACAGACCGATAGACATGTCCCCCTTTTTTTTTTTTTTTTTTTTTTTTTTTTTTTTTTTTTTTATTAATACAGGATCTGTTTATTTATAAAAGTGTAGACTCCTGATGTGTCCCATCTCTAGGGATTCTGTTCTTGTATCCATGCACATGGCCCGTTTCTGGGCTTTTCTCTTTTTAGCTATGGGTGTGCTGGGATTCTGTAATGGACATAACCCATTACTGGGGATGCTGTCCTCGTATAGGTGAATGTTTGTTTGTTACTGGGCATTCTATCCTCTTAACAATGGTTGGGACCAATATTATTGATTCTGTTCTCTTTATCAATGGAAGTGGGTCAGAATCGGGGATTCTGTAATCATATCAATGCATGTGGCTGTTACTGGAATGCTGTCTTAGAACCATGGTCCTGGCCCATTACTGATAATTCTGTCTTATCATTGGTTATGGTCCATTACTAATGATTCTGTCCTTGTATCAATGGATGTGGTCACCAATGGTAGTTCTGTCGTCCTACCATTGGTCACGGTCCCCTACTAGGATTCTGCCTTCATATCAATGGATGTGGTTGCCAATGGTTCTATCCTCCTAACCATTGGACATGGTCCTCTACTAGGATTTCTGTCCTCATATCAATAGGCATGGTCTGTTTCTAATGGATTCTGCCTTCGTATCAATGGATGTGATCCCTTGAGAATGCTGTCTTTGTGCCCATGCATGTGTTACTGGGAATTTTATCCTTGTAACAATAGATGTGGCTTATTACAGGGATTCTGTTGTAACATGTATGGGGCTTTGTCCTTGTATCAGTGCTAGTTACTGGGAATGCTATGTGACATCCTTTTTAAGTGGTGAGGTTTTTAGGGTGTATCCTGTGTCTATCTCAGGCCTTGGTCCATTGTAAACTTTTGAACTCGGCACTGAGTGCTAATAGTGTTTTTCATCCACCCGCAGGCACAAAGTGGACCCACTACCACTGTGGATAAAAGGAAGTCCCTCAAGCCTAAGGTATCTTCTTCCTCATTTTCCAGCATTCTACTGGCCTGATGTAGTCGCCACTGGCCTGTACTAAGTTTCTGTGCTTTCCTTCACCTCCAGATTACACCAAAAAAGCTTCTGAGTTCCCGGGTAAGTGACACTCTCCTATTGGCCTATAGTGGGAATACCTGGGGTATATGGGGTAAGAAAGGTTACCTTTTCCTGTCTCTTTCACACAGAAAACCTCCCTGAACTCTCCAGGTAAGTGCCCTCTAATGGTTTGGTGGTGGTCCTACAATGCATGCTCAAATCGTAGATATAGAGGAAAGATACTTTTTTTTTTTTTGGCTTGAAATGTATTCTTCTTTAATGCCTGAGTTCACTAACCACGGAGTTCTATCTTTTGGGGAGCTAGTAATATAGGGTGCTAGGCAATGGAATCTGACATGTGATTATCATATTTACTATATGCATTCCCACGTGACTTCCTAAAAGATATATCTGGGACTAAAAGTGCCCCCACTAGTTCTCACTGTAGCCTCTGGGCACCCTCTACAATCTCCTCCTCTCACTGCAGCCTCTGGGCGCCCTCTACAATCTCCTCCTCTCACTGCAGCCTCTGGGCGCCCTCTACAATCTCCTCCTCTCACTGCAGCCTCTGGGCGCCCTCTACAATCTCCTCCTCTCACTGCAGCCTCTGGGCGCCCTCTACAATCTCCTCCTCTCACTGCAGCCTCTGGGCGCCCTCTACAATCTCCTCCTCTCACTGCAGCCTCTGGGCGCCCTCTACAATCTCCCCCTCTCACTGCAGCCTCTGGGTGCCTTCTAACTGTTTGTTTCTTCCTCTGTCACTGCAGCATGTAGTCCAGCAGTGAACTGCTCTCTCAGGTCCAGTAGCTTTTTGCTGGTTGGGTCCCTGACGTTGTCTCTAGAATCTCTGGGCAAATTCAAGTTTCCACTGGAAAAGGTGAGTAATTTGTCTGAAAAGTGTGTGTGGTGTTTTTTTTTTTTTTTTTTTTTTTTTTTTTTTTTTTTTTTTTTTTTCCTTCAGTGCTTTTAAATACCCCAATGCGTAACAAGAGGTGATTTGCCAAAAAAAAGTCTAGTAGTGGTCACTGGTATCAGTCAGCCTGGTTTAAAAATACTCCTTTTGAAATTAAATGCAGTTCTTCCTCTATCTCCACTATGATTTATATAGAACTAATTGAGTTTGTTCTTTTCCTGTGACGATGCTCTGGCCAGACTATGGACATTCAGATATTTTTTTTTTTTTTTAACGTATTCTAAACCAGCAGTAAATGAGCTTGAAAACACGTCCTCACTGACCTCTGTAGCTACAGGCATTGTGGAGCAACTGAAAAAATTACGATGATGAAATCCTTCTCCCACATGGGTCTGTTTTTCACTGGTACAAAAATGTCCATGGTTACCTCTTTACATTTACATGTAATTGTTTAATTCTCATGAGTTCTTCAGAGGGCAAAAACTGATAGTGGAGGAGGGAGGCAGATGATGAAAGCAATGTGGGGAGCAGTTAATGGGAACAAGTCTTGATGGGGTAGGGGCCTGATGGTGAAGCAGGTGTCGTAGGGGGGATTGATTGGACCTGATAGTAGATGACTTATTGGAGGGTGAGAACTGACACTGATAACCCAGGGGGTCCTAATTGCCGGGGGGGGGGGGGGGAGGGGGTAATGGGATTTCCTTTTGGATAATGAGTGATACAGTGTAGAGGGAGGGAAAGGGAAATAAAAAGGCTCAAACATCAGAGGAAGGTAATGGGCCTATGTTATAGACACGGAGGGAGTGTGGTGTGACCTATGAGATGAACGGCTGGGATGGTAAAGGATGAACGGCAGAGGAGGGTTGAGGGATGTATGAGATAAATGGCAGAGGAGGGAGTGGGAATATATGAGCTAAACGGCAGAAGAGGTAGCTGGATGGTATATGATGTACAGTAGAGGAGGGAACAGGGCATATGCTAGAGGAGGAAATGGGGCGCACATTTGATGAATGGCAGAAGAGGGAATGGGATGGTATGTAATTACCAGTGGAGGAGGGAGGAGAAGGTATGACATGAATGGCAGAGGAGGGAGCGGGATGTCTAAGATGAATGGCAAAGGAGAAGGGGAGTTTTGTGATACTGTGTTGGTGAGTCCTGATCATGGGGGAAAAAGCTACAGGAGTGCAGTGAGTGGGACCAGTTTGTGGACTGATGGGAAAAGTGCTCCACAGTAGAGAAACTAACCTAGGGAAAGAATGGGAAGGCTGTAAAAAGATTGTCCGTGTGGAGGAAAGTGTACAACTGGGAATGACAGTGGAGGGGAAGAAGGGTAGCAGGGTAATGGGTAAGCTATGCTCCCTGGAGGTGTAAAGGTGAATATATGCAGGAAATGCCCAGTACCTCAGACAGGACAGAGTGCCTTTTTCTCTTGATCGTACCCTGTGTTTCCTTGTCTGAGTAGACACTGGGCCTTCTCTTTTTATATTACTCGGCGCTCCCTATTAATGACAACATTTTGGTCATTCCTCAGTGCACGGCTCTCCTTGTGTCTCACACTATCCCTCCTCCTGGTTTTTCTGCTCTCTTGTCTTGTCCTCTCATCTTTTCCCCACCTGTCTGTCTCCTCCTAGATGAAATTGGAAGGGAAGGTCGGTCGTCTGCTTGGAAATCATTTCCAGGATAAGGTGGTTACAGATTTTTCTTGCAATGTTGGGTTTGGTGCATGGCTATGTAGTAAAGGCTTCTCATGCTGGGGGCTGTAGTAGTTCATTGGTCTTATTGTGAGTGACCAGAACAGGGAACACCCTCTAAAACCGTTTTCTGGAGGTCTGTGGACTCGGGATTTCTCCCTCACACAACGGATGAAGAAGAGGAAAGATGTGAGATTGGGGAAATTTCCAATAAGGCCAAGTCAGGTGAAGGTGAATAGAAGCTAACAGCCATATAATTATAATTAAGAATTGTGTAAGACGTGAGATTCTCCAGCCACTTCTCACCAGACCCCCTGACACAGGTCATCCGGAGTGCACACATGCTGGCACCTATAGAAACTGCAACACCTGAAGTTTTGAGATTGTCTTCTGTGAAATGATATATGTAGTAATATCTGGAACATATAGTTTTACTTTTCAAATGAAGTGACCGTACCATCATCATTGTCTGGTCAAGTGCTGCACCAAGGCTGATCTTGTCAGAAGTGACAGCCGGGTCCCCACTGTCTGCCCATCAATGTAGATTAGGTGACCCTGAACAGGCTTCCCACCCTGCAGTCTGGAGTCACTTCTGTACCTTGCAATCGACATCCTGCTGGGCTCCACTTCTTATCGGAACAGGATATATTGAATGTGCTTTGACCTAAACTCATTCAGCCGGTCCTCAGCAGACCATTTGTATCAGAAGTCCATGCCAGGCCCACCTCCCCGAACCCTATGGATCAAAGTTCTGATTCGAACAAATAGGTGGCCAGTTATGTTGTGATAACATATCTGATCTGCACTGCGGTCATCATCTCATTGTTGGAGCATATCTAATTCTAAAACAAAATGTCGTGCAGCTCACTTGTTGTTAGAAGTGGTGGTGTTTTTGTTTTTTGTTTTTTTGTGTTTTTTTTTGGGGGGGGGGGGGGGCGGGGGGAGGGATTATGTCTGTAATATATTTTCCTGTCCTAGGGTGACCGCACACCATATTGTATGAAGGTAGGCACTGTTGTCACCTAGGCTGTACTACAAAAATGTTTTCCTCTCCATCTTCATGTAAATGGAGGTTGAGTGGTTTACAGAAGGAAGATTGTTAGAGATCTATTGTTAGAGATTTCAGTGCATCTCACATGAAGTGATACACAGCATTAACAAGATCAACAAGTATTTTCCATAATTGTTGAAAATGTTCTTAGACTGGAAAAAAAAATACCAATGTGGCCACCACTTTTCTAAGGGCTGGAAGTGGGGGGTGGGAAAGAGTGTAGACACATCTAAGGACTGGAAGGTATGGGGTGGAGGGATGTAGACACATCAAAGTACTAGAAGATTTGGGGTAGAGGTGCATACACATCTAAGCACTAGAAAGTATGGGGAGGGGTGCAGGCACATCTCAGGACTGGTGAGCTGCAGTATATAAAATAGTTGTTCTTGGGTTTTGATATCTTTAACAGACGCCCTATGTGCTCTTGTTTGACTATCCCATGTCCAGTTACTGATGTAGGTGTTGCAGTTTCCATTCCTGACTGTGTAGATTTGAGGGGTTTGTGATCTGGTAAGAACCAATATACTGTATATTGATCATTAAAGGTGAACTCACAATAACTCCACCCCCAGGAATAGCAGCGCGTGGACCTGGGACTGTTATACTGCTTTACTCACATTGCACTGACTGACGCTAATCATCGCTACTAACCGGATACTATTTTGTTCTACTTGTCTACTTGTCCTGATTGTTTTCTCCCAGGTCCCTTTCCTGTCCCCTCTGGAGGGCAACCTGTACCTGAAGATGCAGTGCCAGAGTCATTCCGCAGTACAGCGTACAGGATTTCTGGTAAGATCTTTGTTACGGACGGCCACCATATCCTAGGGGGGTTAGATGACCACCACATCCGGGGGGGAGGTTGACACTGATGTGTTGTATTGATGGGATTCTTCATATTCTCCTGCAGACAATATTTGAGGATGTCAGTGGTCTGGGGGCATGGCGCAGGCGTTGGTGTGTCCTTTCTAGTAACATTCTTTCTTTCTGCTCATATCCTGACCTAGAGGCCTCTAAGGTAAGTGCACATTGACTCTGTTCTGGGACCTGTACATCTTTGCTTGCTGTCTGTACTGATCATCGTTGTGTAGGAACCTCTCGGGGCGGATAAACCTGGTGAACTGCACAAGTGCCAAGATTGAGGCTGCCAAAAGAGAAACCTGTGCCCGTCCTCACACATTGGAGCTGATCACCATGAGGCCTCAACAAGAAGATGACCAGGACACGCTGGTGACCCAGTGCCGCAACACCTTGTGTTTTACCAAGTGAGTTTTTTACGGTGACTAGTGTAGGGAAGGATTCGATTCTAGAACCTTTCCAGCCCTGATGGGACAGCTGTGGCCTTCTATCACCTCTATCTGGTATAAAGCACTATACATGATATGCAGAGTATCTGTCCTGAAAACAAGGGCTCATGTATTGTATTTGTCTTCAAACCTCTCCTCCTTCCAGGAACTGGCTGTCTGCCGATACCAAGGAGGAGAAGGACCTCTGGATGGACTGTCTAAACCAGGTTCTCTTAGACCTGAGAACATGGGGAACCTAGCAAAACCAACACCAACACTAAGCTGAAGGCTACCATTCACTGAGCCGCTGCGATCATCCTGCACACAGAGGAGTTTTCTGCTTTTTGTTTATAAAAAATGTTTTTACCTGATCTGAAATCCCATTCTAGCCCGATCAATCTATAAACCTACCAATCGGCATTGTATTCCTTAATTGATCGTCCTGTCAGTGGGTGACCAGGTCACTCTGTGGAAACATTGTTACAAATTTTATCTGAGATTTCGCTGTATTTCTGGGAGACCTCCGTTATGCTCCCCAATTTTCAGTACATGGATGAGGGGGGCGCCCAGGAAATAGCTCTATAATCCGAATGCTGCTGCCTTTATACTGTGGTGCACACATGCGTGTACTTTCTTCTAGTTCTTTTCTGTCCGTGTATGTTTTCTTTACATATTTCCAGAAATGTCTAATCATTTTTGTATTGGTCTGCCTTCTGTATGGTTTATGTGGTTGTTGCTCTTTCTATATATGGAAATATTTCTTTTATTGGATTATTTAGCGTTCTGAATAGATCTTATATTAATCTATGAAATAAATAATTTAAAAACACCTCTGCTGTCTGCAGTCATGGGGAAGGGCTGATTTGTGGTTCAATGGAAACCCTTCATGTATGAAGGTACTAGCTGCCTTCTGAAAATTGTTATTGTCTTGGCTTTCTTCAGTCAATGTGAAGCCACATGGATACCAGGACAGCCAGGGAACTAGAATTTTTAAGAGCGCTCTACAATAGCGACCTCCAATACTTTTTCTCATTGAATGTTTCCATACAGTTGAAAGGAATGTACAGTGTGTAATAAATCATTTTAGTCAATTAAATATGAAATATGGGGCACGCGTTTTAAACAAACAAAAAAAATTATTTAACACACACTATAATGCAAAGGAAAAAAAAACTTGGCAAAACCGTTCACACAGACTTGAAAATAAGGGAAAACAAACAAATTCTCAGACCTTATTAACCTTTGCTTCACTGGAGCTACTCCCTATCCTATTCTTGTATCACCCTTAATCTCTTATGCCCCTTTATTTTGTATCTCCCCCCCCCCCCCCCCCCCCCCCCCCCCCCCCCCCCCCCCCTCCCCCCCCCCCCCCCCCCCCCCCCCCCCCCCCCCCCCCCCCCCCCCCCCCCGCTGTTCTATTTCCAACTAGGACGTAAAAAATATGTTGAGTGCTCAATAGCTCAGGCTGAAATTTACACAGTTCAGAATAGGGCGGTGACCCTACCTCCCATCTGCCTCTGTTTGGGAGTTGTATAAAGTGTCTGTGACAGTCTGCTTACACCTTTGTACTAAGTGTTCATTTGTAACATATACAGTGAAGGAAATAAGTATTTGCTCCCCTGCTGATTTTGAATGTTTACCCACTCACAAAGAAATGATCAGTCTAAAAATCGAATGGTAGGTGAATTGTGACACCTGAGAGACAGAATAGCAGCAAAAAATTCAAAAGAAATGCATGTCTAACAAATTATACACTGATTTGCATGTTCATGAGGGAAATAAGTATTTGATCCCCTATCATTCAGCAGGATTTCTGGCTACCAGGTGTCTTTCATACAGGTAACAAGTTGAGATTAGAAGAAGTCTCTTAAAGGGAGTGCTGCTAATCTCATTTTGTTACCTGTATAAAAGACACATGTCCACAGGAGCAATCAAACAATCAGATTCCAAACTCTCCACCATGGCAAAGACCAAAGAGCTGTGCAAGGTTGTCAGGGACAAGATTGTAGACCTACACAAGGCTGGACTGGGCTACCAAACTATCGCCAAGCAGCTTAGTGAGAAGGTGACAACAGTTGGTGCAATCATTCGCAAATGGAAGAAACACAAAACAACTGTCAGTCTCCCTAGGTCTGGTGCACCATGCAAGAGATCTCACCTCGTGGAGTGTCAATGATCATGAGAACAGTGAGGAGTCATCCCAGAACTACACGTGAGGATCTTGTCAATTATCTCCAGACAACCGGGACCACAGTCCCCAAGAAAACAATTGGTAACACACTATGCCGTCAAGGACAGAAATCCTGCAGTGCCCGCAAGGTCCCTCTGCTCAAGAAAGCACATGTCCAGGCCCGTCTGAAGTTTGCCACTGAACAACTGAATGATGCAGAGGAGGACTGGTTGAATGTGTTGTGGTCAGATGAGATCAAAATCGAGCTCTTTGGCATCAACTCAACTCGCCGTGGTTGGTTTGGAGGAGGAATGCTGCCTATGACCCTAAGAACACCATCCCAGCTGTCAAACATGGTGGTGGAAACATTCTGCTTTGGGGGTGTTTTTATGCTAAGGGGACGGGACAACTGCACTTCATCAAAGGGACGATGGACGGGGCAATGTATTGTCAAATCTTGGGTGAGAACCTTCTTCCCTCAGCCAGGGCATTGAAAATAGGTCGTGGATGGGTGTTCCAGCATGACAATGGCCCAAAACACATGGCCAAGGCAACAAAGGAGTGGCTCAAGAAGAAGCACATTAAGGTCCCGGAGTGGCCTAGCCAATCTCCAGACCTTAATTCGATTGAAAATCTGTGTAAGTTTGTTATGAGAAGGGGGGAAATGACTCCAATGGGGTCAAGCCAAAGACTGGGACTAATAATGTTTGTTGATTTTAAACTAATTTTAAGTTTGTTTGATCGTCCACAAACTACGAGATGATTGTTGCCATAAATTGGCCCCTGCGATCAAAGGCCACACATACAGACTTTTAATGCTATCAGGAGGAAGTCATTGAGTGGCCACAGGTACCAGGCAAATTGTTGCAGTACCTGGCACTCTATCACAGGCAGTATCGGGTGGGATCATCTGCCCAACAGTTCCTGAATAGCCCCGACCATGGTGTCATCAGGAAGAGCAGTGCAGAATGTGGAGCCTGCACAAGGGTATGTACTACTGCATACCAGTTCTGTAAGCTTTCTAAACTCCACTTGCTTGGGGGGGAAAAAAAAAAATATATAGCATATACAATTGTGACAAAAGTCCTATTGTAATTGAATATTAAAAATTACCTTTCATTTTCAATTTGACCTTGCCTCATTACAACCCTGCAAGTGCAGCAGCTGATTGATAATCACTCCCATATTGATTCACTCTGTACATGGCTACAGACAAACAGCTATTTCTTCAGAATAACAAAAAGGTAGGAATCTGCAAAAAAGTTTGTTAAAATCCTTGCAATGTTGCAATAGATCACCCAGAGGGAAATTTTTTTTTTTCAACAAAAGTGGAGTTACTCTTTAATCCTACTGCCCTCAACAACAAGGCATTTGTATAGGTCTGTTAACAGACTTGTGTCCATGACGTGAGACACTAGAGATTCTGAAGACCCTCTGCACACTGGTATATACCCTTTCAAGCAGACTGCAATAAATAGGGATGTTTAGTTCTCACATATTGCAATACATGCTTAAACTGGCCAACTGCGTCAAAGTAATCCCTCTATGGCCAGTCCTACTCTGCCCTGCCTACGCAAATGCTACTGTGGACACAATGCTAGCATAGGGGAAAATACACAATGGGGAGAGCTACAAGGTTCAGGTCTGGCTACTGACCCAACAATACAACAAACAAGAGATCCCTGTGCTCAAATCCCAACAGCTAGTGCATGTCCATGACGTGAGACAGTGGTGAGATGAAGAATTCATTGACCAGTGCAGCTGATTTCCTGACTTGCTTCAAATGGGATTGCAGTCCTATAGACTTGTTTTGGAATGTAAAAGCCCATCAACACAGACCTTTAAACTTGGCCGTGCAATAATCCTTTTTTTTTTTTTTTTTTTCATTCAACCAGCGAGATGAAAGGGGAAAAAAAAAAAGACCTGATTCCCCCATTCACGTGCTTGATGGGGAAGGGGGGAGAATCACTCCTGCTCTGCTATTGTGGTCCAATGGCGGGGAGACTTTTCCCCGCTGTCAGAATACAATGATCAGTGTTGCCAGCTATAGTTAGCAGCACTGATCATTCAAGAAAAAAAACAGACTGGCTGGTTGTATAGAAGTCAATCGATCGACCTCAATACAACCGGCCTACCCATGCCCATGGATCGAAATTCGTCTGCTCCCTGCTGAATCAGCCAGATTTCAATCCATGTATTGCGGCCTTGTTCCCATTGACCTCTAACATCAGGGAATTGTTTTACTCCCACTGGTCTGAGCCTGATGGACA